GTGATTTAAAAAAAAGGTTGGTCCACCCCTTTATTGTTCTTTCTTTGCCCATGTTCCCTCCTGCAACCAAGTTCAGTGAAAATAAGTTCAGTAGTTTTTGCGTAATCCTGCTGACAAACAAACAAAGGAGGTAACTGGGGTTGTGGTCAGTAGAGCGAATACCTCAGCCAAGGCCCAACAGTCCCCTTGAATCCAATCAAGCTGCACAAAGTTTCACATACTTCTTGATATCAGTTCCCTAAATATGCCTCATTGATTTTTATCAAGGTCCATGAATTATTCCCTGGGAAAACATCCTATCTAGCTTTGTTAAGGAAAGTGAGAAAATAAAATCCTGGATCCGCAAGTTTCATAGAAATGTGTTCAGTTGTTTTTGTGTTATCTTGCTTACAAAGAAACAAACGAACCAACAAATTGGGTGAAAACCTCCTGGTGGAAGTAATTCATTGAATGATAGACAACAACAGATAAATCAGTTAGTGTTGGCCTCTTCATTGAGGGAAAGTCTGACATGAAGAATAGCAAAGTAAACAAGTAAACACAGAAGTAATTACAACACGCTGACTCATGAAGCCTCATATAGTTTGTTGTGGTGATGAAGAACCAAGTCATGTAAACATAAGCATTTTTACAGTCAAGTAATGTTTGAGCATATTTCTTTCAAATGTTATCTCAGAAATGTCAAAAAGAGAAGTATCCAGAGTATTTCGCTTTTTCAGTAGATTTACCACATTTAAAAGCTTTTTCATGACAGTTGCCAACTTTCTCCAACAAAATTCACCTGTGAATTCTTCTTTGAATCAAAGGCTTTCTGCAGAAGTAGTTTTATATGCAGATTCCAGCAAACTGCAGACACTAAATCAAATGAAACTGCACTGTGCACAGCTCCTCCTCCTCCTCCTCCTGCTCCTGCCTCACAGTTGTCCCGGGACCCTGCTGTCCAGTGAAGCGCTGCCTCCAAACCAGGGTTGTGGCTAGGAGTCACAGGAAGGGCAAGCTCATTAATTATCTCCCCCTCTCTTCCCTCCTCCATCTTCACATCACATCCTCCCTTCATTACCAGCAAGGTTAATCCCCCCTTATCTCCCAACGAGCCTCATTTTTCATGGCTCCTGTTCCACGACACTCCCACCCCCTCTCACCCCTTCAGCACCCTTTCCTTTCCGTGATTCTTCTCTTTCTACGTTCAAAGCTGCTTCTCAGTTTCTTCTTCGCTGTTTTTGCATCATCGGCCTATTTGTTGGTCACTTCTCTCACATATGCTATTTACTCTGCTCATTTTCCATCTGTTATCTTCCCATTATCTTCTTTCTTTTCTTTTCCTTCCTTTCCTCTCTAGTTTTCCTTTCCTTTCATAGTTTTTCCTCTCCTCTGGTCTTCTTTTCTTTCCTTTCCTTTCCTCTCTCTCCTCTCCTCTCTCCTCTCCTGTGCTTACCTTGAACTGGCCATGGTGAGTGGAGAGAGTAGATCTATTACAGCTTATCACTAAAGGACAGGCCAACGCTGCATGCCAGTGAAATATGGCTGCTGTCACAGCCACCGCTGAACACAACCTGTGCACAAGGCTCACAGAGCATCGAGGACGGCGGTGGGGGAAGTAAGAGGGGAGAGGAGAACGGGGGAGGGGGGCACGGAAGCCAGTATCGGCTGCCTGTTTCAAATGAATGTAGAGATTTCCAGGGCCGATGCCCGGCACATTTGACAGTGATTTGGCACACAATTAACCTGGTCTCCTTCTCCCCTCTGCCCCCCCCATCACCTCCTCAGCCTTCATTCTCCGCCTTGTTCTCTCGTCGACTCTCTCCAGCCGCTGTACCTGTCACGCTCCGTGACACAGTCTTATTGATTATGAACCAAATGGAGATGATGATGTTTTATTAGATAACTGACACTCCTCTCTGTAGTCTGCCAATTGAATTAGCTGAATCACCAACATCCATATAAACGTGTCAGCAGCATTTATTTTGGTAGCAGATTGATTTACATGCATTAATATCCTCTATGACACAAGTCTTATTTCCTAAAGAAAATGCAGTTTAACAAAATGAAACAGACTGTTCTTATATGTTTTGTGGTTTTATGAGCATGATAGATTTTTACTCTTTGACCGGTTTTAAAGGACCATCCATCCTGCAGCCTCAGCCTCTCAGTCAGACTTAACTCACAGCTTTTATAGGCCATTTCACCTTGGGTTCCAGTTCATGGCACCAAGCAGCCAATGGCTCTCACACAGAGGAGAGCAAGTGAAGTGTTAAAGAAGGAGAGGCGGAGATGTACCCAGTCACAAAATAGAGGAGAGAAATAAAGTGTGGAAGAAATAGCAGAGGCCTCTGAAGAGAGCGCTCCCTCTTTTACATTGATACTATAATCTGCTCTTTAGAAAAACAGAAACTAACAAATAAAAGCTGTCCTTGGAGAATTTAAATCCAAGAAATTGGCTGTTACCATGGTAACCTGCACTAATAATTCAAAAGGCTGCAATTAGCTTATGCTGTATGCTTTTATTTTACTAATGTAATGGAGTAATATATGCATTTTACATTTAGAGATGTGCTACTATACTGTTTTCTTCTGGTTTGAAGAGTACGCAAATCTGCCACTGGAAAATACTGTTTTTAGAATGGCAAGTGATTTCTGGTAGTGTGGTATTTTAGCATTAGCTACACTACCATATATTCCTTTATTTATTTATTTGAGTTCTTTTTCAGTTATGACTGACAAACTAGATAATAAAATATGCTAAGGAGATTTAATTCACCGAAAGTACCTATATCATGAAATGTATCTTTGAGTTGATGACTGGAAATGTAGAGAGGTTGCCTTTATTGGGATCAATCAAGTCTTAGGAAAAGATAATCCTTCTTCTATAGACTGTGGTTGAGCCACAGTCTCATGAATGAATGAGACGACAGCAGGGCAGTTTGCAGGTATAGCCGAGTAAAGGCGACTAGATGTATCCCTGTGTCAACACAATGTTTGCTCAGTGTTGATGATTATCCCAGCTTTTCTGAGACTCTGCCTCAGCACATGTGACATGGACAAACCGCAGCAGAGACAAGTATGACAGCCGTGTGACGGACAGCGAGGCGTGAGTGCTGTCAAAGGGTGGCTAACAACTTGCTGATGTGACAGTGTCGGGGCTAATGTGCAGTTCAGCAAACACTCTCTGATGTGGAAAAGGCTAACGATTGTGGAACAAGCGAACAATACAATAGGTCTGTCATAGTAAGACTTCACAAAAGGCCAAAAAGGCTCCAGTGGGAATCAAACAGCTGTGAAACTGGCAGGCTGGATTAAAGTTAACGTAATTACTACTTGAATTTAGTTAATGACATCCTTGGAAATATAGCTTTCAGTATTTGTAGGGAAGCAGTAAAATACCAATTCTTTGCTTGGTTGCACAAAGAACTGTTCACCTTGAAGTTTCAGTGAAGCTCGACTCCCCAAACTTGAGAATCATGTTGTCGTTGCTGTGACAGAGAAAACCCCCATTGTCTCAGACAGGCTGTTGTCGTGATCGACAAAGTCACTTAATGAGTCCCAGTTGCCGCTGCTACGGAGCACTGGTCACCATTCAAAGTTTATTAATATTGAGCGTATAACATGTCCAATTGCGCCAACTTCAATACTGCACTCCCTTGGGCCCTTAACAATACACATGTCAAGTGTGAAGCCTATAATATGAATGGTTTAGATAGAATAGAAGAGTTGCAGGCTTTTAAAAACCTCACAAGTATGCATTGGGTAGTAATTTTGGGGAATAGGCAGGTGATTGAAACCTTAAAAACATCAAGATGCAAATACAAATACTTCCATGAAGTACACCAGGGATATAAGGAGAGGAAAAGAAAGTAGGGATGACAAAGATTTGTAAGAGAACTGAGATTGTAAAAAATGTGACAACTGACAATATGTTGATGGGAGGATTTATTACTTTAAGTACTTGGAGGCTGTATAATACAGAGAAAACACTACTGCAACACGGTCGCAGATACAAAAATAAAATTTCGCAGTTCTGTTTGATCATGACAAAAAGCTCTCAATTAGATTATGTAAGATTTTGAAATTCAAATAATCCCCACAGCTCAGCCTCCCCTCAGCGCTCAGCAGTCACGCAACATGTTTCCATTGTTCTAATGCAGTCCTTCCTGTCATGTCCAAGAGGGAGAGGAGATAAAAGCCATGTGTCTGCGGCCTGGCGGCTTTTGCCATTGCTCTTGTGGTTTTTTTCACTGTGTGGAGGTGGTTAACAGTCAACATGAAAAAAAAAGTGCACACACACATACACACACACACACACACCATGTGTACAGCTGTGGCACCAGTTCCCCATGACTCACGACACAGCCGTGTAAAGGGCTTAACACAAGGTAGGAGGGGATAAGCAGCACCCCTGATGTTTAAGCTGCCGATGCTTTGAAGCAGATGTGAGCATACGTGTTCAGCCTCTCTCTCCTCCTCGCCCTCTCTCAGTTTGTGTGTGCAAGCGCATGCTCGCGTGCCTCACAAGCACTAAACCACACGTCACGACTATTAATGTTTCCTGATCAGCCTGCTGAAAATGAAGCTAATCTGTTGCAAGGGAAATGGGGCAGGAATTTTCTCCTTAAATCCACCAGCGGTTTCCTTCTATCATCCGAGATATCCCACAATTTATCTCCATGCATTTTCTAGCTGCATCCCATCTCACAACAACTGGTGGTTGTTTAGACCAATGCCTGCTGATTTTCTCCGACAAACACCAGCATTAATTTATCGCAAGTTATGATTCATTTCATACTTGTCACAAAGCCCTGATACACATGAATTGAAATTTCAGCCTTAGAAATGTATGTTTTTTAGTTAATTAAAGTGGAATTTCAATTCATCTTTCTATTTTCAACCAGGAATGATTAAACTGAAATCAAATGTCCTGCAACCCACAGTATCAGGGCTCCATCAAACTCTCAGACAGCAGCCTCTCTGCATGTTAAGTGTAAATGTGTTTGTTCTTCTTGTAGACCATCGTTCGAGGTAACCGGCCACCCAAAGATGCATCCATCAATGGCCTCCTAGAAGAGTTCGACAACATCTCAGTGACACGCTCCAACTCCCTGCGTAAAGAGAGTCCACCGGGTCCCCACCAGGCTGGAAGCAGCTCCAAACCCTCAGGCAGTGGTCATCCCAACGCCCCGGAGGAGAACGGATTCAACCACTACTACTCCCGCTACTCCTGTGACTTAGACACCGCCAGCAGGGACTTCTCTCTGGACCCTGGCAAGCCGAGCTTCTCCATAGATGGGGACTGGGCAGTGGGGAGGCACTATCGATTCACCAAGCAGAATGGCCACTCGCACCCCATACGCAGCCCCTTCTACCCAGACGCCATGCCCCAAAAATCAGACTATGGCAAAATGCCGCCGGACTACCACACCTACCTGGAGAGCAAAGGGCGCTCAGTCGATGAAGTGGCCTCCACCGTGGGGAGCGGGGTGGGTTCCAGTGGCTACTATCGGGCGTCTGTGGGGGGCTCGTCCAGTCAGGACTACCGGGACACTTCAGTGGGCACGCCATCTCGTGCTTCACTACACAGTGAGCAGATCAACTACCCAGACAGTGAGTGGAGCTATGGTGGCCTGCGGGACGAATACGAAAAGCGACCCAAGAGTTCCTATGTGACGCAGACAAGCCCTACGCCAGCTATCAGGCAGCGATCTCGGTCAGGCTCCGGGCTGCAGGAGCCAAATGTCCCCTATGCAGCCAGCGGCGCTTTCAAGCACCCTGCACAGGCCCATCCATACAGCTCCTACACCTACCCTCGCCTCTCGGAGAGTCTCGCTAACTCACAGACCATAGCTAAGGTAACTACACAAAACCCTAAACTATGCACTATTTATGCAACAGTATGAATTTATATAAAAGGCCTATTCATCGAGGAAAATAGTTGTGACAAGGATTTTAGTAGTGTTTACTCTGTACTGCAGAGCATATTTTATAAGCTACCAAATTGCAGTGGCTGTCCAGGAAACATGTTTCAACACAACCCTGACAAGTCTGTAGAAACATTTCAGAGAAAATTACACAGATGTGTGCCCACGTTTAGTCCCACCTCCCATCCACCTGCAGTCACATTTAAATATTCCTCCCTTTCCCCTCCACTCTCTCAGCCCAGGTTTCTCTCACAGTCTCTCTTTGTACATTTCTTTTCTGGTCCTCTTGCCAGATAGACAGTGTCAGCAGCTAATCTACTCTTCTCTAAAGGATGCAGCCACTGCCACATACAGAATTAGCCATCCTCAGTTGCCACTGTCTCCGCACACAGATCAATTAATGCGCAGGTTGACCATCGACCAGAAAGCTGTGAATTACACAGACCAGACACAGAGAAGCACAAAGTAATGTAGTAAAGAAAGAAAGAGGCGAGAGGCAATGACATGGCAGGAAGAAATGAAAAAGGAAATGAAATCCTCAGAACCTCAAGTAGACATGACTGAATCAGAGAAGAACTGGCAAAAACATGAAATCAACTGTCATGTTTTGGTACTAATTGTGTTGTTTTGCAATGATAAATGTTATGTATCTCAACCGCTTCTGCTACTACTACAGTAAATAACAAAGAATTTTTAAAAGGGCACAGAATAAAATCGCATTATAATAGATTCTCACAAAAAGAAGTCATTTACAAGAGCACATAGATAAAGTTATTCTCTGGGCCATGATGTTCCTAAGGTATCATGACAAAAGAGAGGAGGAAATCTGAGTAACATGCTGTCAGATTTGTGCAGAGGCCTCATATCTACCACCACTACCTGCAGACAATAGAGTGATTTCTGACTCAGGCTAGTGTGGAAAGATGAACAATAATAATGACAATACAAGGTACTGAGAATTGTATTCAGGTTTACAAAAAAATATTTTGTATGCCCTTTACAGAAACTGCTGTGGGATTTTATATATATGAGGGTGCCAGATTCACTATTATGACATCATTATTTATGATACTTGTTGGGTCAGTCAAATCAAAGATCATTGGTGTTATTAATGGAAATAAAAATCTAAAGGACAAGGTTCAGGTCAGGTTAAACAGTGACACAGCAGTGTCATCTGCATAGAATTGACATTTTGAGCCCAGAGGCTATACTTACACATGAATCTTCCTAACCAAGGATTTGAAATAAAATTATATTCAGCAGAAAGCCAACGATATAAAAATGTAAACTGTGCAGTAAATGTAAAATGACCGACTTGATTACGAGTAAAATTGCCCAGTAGCATGACCTGATATTGACGTTTAATAGGCTATTGCTTCCTCTTGTGTGAGAAACACCTTCACTGCAAGCTCTAGTGACCGAGTGTGTGTTGCAGTCTGTGATGTTCTCCAGTGGAGCTGTGGGAGAGGCAGAGACACCCAAGAGATTTTTCCCACACAGAGACTCCGAGAGCAAACAAACGTCCCATGCTTTAGTGGTTGTGTAATGTAACCATATGTTTCCAGTTGTGATTCTTTTATGCCAGTATTATTAAACAGAACTGCCTTTGCAGCTGTAGGACATATTAGAATACTGCAGGTTAGTAGAAGATTTTAGCGGGGAGCAAAATATGCAGCGAGTCAATGCAACAGCAGGGGTTCGGTCACTTTGTTCATATCGTTCTCCAAAGTGTTCAGTGCCCCATTAGGTCCGTTATACAGGAGTGTGTACTGCTCTCCAATATCCCTCCTTCACACCCAGTGAGTCCAGTAGCTGAGAGGAAAACTGGGTTTGCTGATGTAGATCCCAGGGTGCCTTGATGAAAAACCATTTAACCTGCATGCTTCAGTAAATAGCTACTCAGTAAAAAAAAAACAAGAATGCAAGAGTAGCAGGATTGGAAGTGATGCAGGGAGAGGTCATTTTTTTCTTATATATTCTTTATTATCCCCATTTTCTGAGTTTCTTTTTCTTAAGGAGGCACATTTACTTCTCTGGAAATGTGCAGTTTGTAGTCAATGCAAATATTTAGGACTCAACTCATCCACAACTTGTGTAATGATCTAAAAAGACAGAAAATGCTGTAAGAAAAAATCCCTCTGACTATGTTGTATGGTGTATTTTTGTTAACAGATTTGATGTTTAATTGGTTGTTTATGTGTTTAAATGAAATGAATAGAGGCTGTGATGAAGTGCGGTGGTGGAATCAATGTGCGCTAATTTGCCTTGTAGTGTTTGAAGATTTTTCAGCAGTGATAAGGGGGAAAAAACAAGGAGTCATCTGGCAGCTTAAGAATCACTATTCTTCTCGGCTCATGGACCCTGTAACAAACCCACCCCTCTCTATCCTCTCTCCTTCTCCGCCTTTTCTTCCTCTTCCCTCATTCAGCCTGCTCACACCACTGAAGTAAATCCTTCTTTTTCGCCGCTGTTGTTGGGAGCCAGTGGGGATGTAACAGTAGACAGCCCAGAGACTCGGCCACACACAGACACATGCACACACACAAAGACACAAACAAATACACTCCCTCTCTCCTCCTTCCATTCTCCTCCTCTCTCTTTCTTTCTGTTTGGTGGCGAGTCTGAGCTCAGTGCCGCAGCTCTCGGTGACAAATTGATGTTGCGGCACTTTCCCTTTCTGCAGCCTTAGCATAAAACTGGCCGAACGATGTTCCACCGCGGAATTCAATTTCACAGTTGAGTTAGGTTGTTGATTACCCTGCCAAACTCAGATTAATGCACGTTTAACCAACATGGATCAGGAGACCCCTGGCTGACAGCCAGCCAGTGGTACTGGCCAATGATAGTGGGGCGCTAGGCTGGGCTGTCCCAGTGGCAGCCCGCCCCTCCATCGCGCACATACAGAAACACGCACACACACATGCACACACGCACACACACACACACACACACACACATACAAGCACACACACACCTGCCTTGAGTGATTGATTAAAAGAGTTCACACCATGTAATTATACACCATTCTAACATATCAGTGCTCCTCCTCCTCCTGCTCTGTGTGTGTGTGTGTGTGTCTGTGTGTGTGTGTGTGTGTGTGTGTGTGTGTGTGTGTGTGTGTGTGTGTCTGTGTCTGTGTGTCTTTGTCTAAGTGTAAAAAAAGGCACACAGAGAGAGAAACAAATAAAAGGAACGGGAAAGAGATGGATTTTTCTTTTATCCTCTTGAGAATGTATGACTAAAAAACCTGCTGGTTGAAGAGCATATTTTGGGGCTGTTGCAAACGTAATTCAATTGAATCTCTACATGGTGGAGTTAGCATGATTCACTCCTATCGACTGTCCTCGAATATTGATATTTTACCTTTGCACTGCATCTTTTTCTTTTTTTCCTTTGGTAGATACTGTCTTTATATGCAGGCTGTCGCTTCATTCATGACTGCGGCTGTTTTTATATATGATGCAGTTGAACATGCAAAATTGATTTCAACATTTAAGCCAAGTTAGGCACCATAATATGTTTGCATCACTATTCAATCCATTATACTGTGGTTTAGACAAGTCAGTCTGTCCTTTTCTGTTTTCTATTAGCCATGACCATTGTTGCAGAGAACAGGTTCCACCTTTATACACTGACATTGTTTGATGCTGACTATAAAGTCACTGAGTTATGAAATCAGTACTAGTGTTGTCATTTGTGTCATTTGAGAGTGTTTGTGTGTGTGTACACCAGGCCTCTTTATGAGTCAGATAATTTAAGCTGAGTCATACAACTGAGCTTTTAATAGGTCTTTCTAAGTTAAACTCAACATTCTCGCTGTGTGTGTGTGTGTGTGTGTGTGTGTGTGTGCGTATGTGGGTGGGTGTGTGTGTGTGTGTGTGTGTGTGTGTGTGTGTGTGTGTGTGTGTGTATACGCTCACGTGTTTCTGGGATCTTGAGGAAGAGGTGTGTCCCAGATCTGGATTCTCTCTTGGCTCCTAGTTGATGAATGGAGCAACTGAGGAGCATTGTGGGATACTAATGATAAAGTATGGCCCCTGTCCTGTCGACTAAATGATATCCATTAAGTTTGTTGCGGGCCAACGTACCTGCTGCCTTACCTGGGAGTAGAGCCGACATTTTACTGTGTGTGCTCATGCATGTATTATTCAGCGCTCAGGAACGCCATAACTCGGGAACAGTATGGGAGATTGTCACCATATTTGCTGAAAGTTACTCATATTTCTAGTTGTTTTTTAATTTTGAGATCAATCGATTAAATAACCTTGTCATTTCTGTCTCCTCCAGGGTGACTACGAGCGTCCATCACGTGACGGCAGTCCCCAGGTTATGGGCATTGACACCTACCCCCGAGGGCCTCTTAAGCTACCTCAGAGCCATACCAAGCCACCAGGCTACCCCCCAGCACACTTACCCTACCCCCCTGTCTTTCACCATTACAAACCCTCACCCTACCATCACCCTCCCTCCCAGCCGAGCCCACCGTACACCCCTCAGGTACAGTATGCTCACAGTCAGCATTTTTAGAGCTGATACACATAAAAGTTTAATCAGCATCATGTCATTTGAATGGGATAATGATTTGTTAAACTATGGTTAAACTGCCTAGTGACATTTTTTTTATTTCCGAATAAACTTAAGTGTTATGATCAATATGCTGTGAGCTTTTATAATAAAAAAGCCATGCAAAACCTAAAAACACATTAGATTATCTAAAAAAAGCATTGTCGACAATGGAAAATTAGCCTGAAAAGTAGGCGTTTTGGAGATACCATGATTTCACATATCCTTTAGATTATTGTAGGAAAGATGCTTTTTATTCTGTTTTCAAGTCTCTGTAGTTTAAATATGTGTTTATTGCATGCATTTGGTAACCCATTCAGATTAAGACCAGTCAATGTTAATTACAGTTTTTTGCATGAAAATGACCTCAAAGGTCCCTTTAAGTTTCCCAAATTCAATAACTGCAGGAAAATAACATTTAATTTTTGCTATGCGTGTGTTTCCATCTAGGGGGCGTACTCACAGCCTTCATCACCTTACATCCCCCCGGGGGCCTATCCCCCTCCTTCCTGGGGTTCTAGCTCGGATACCCAACCCTCTAGAGTCTCCCACGAGCAGTTCAGAGCTGCACTTCAGCTGGTGGTCAACCCAGGTCAGAAATGGAAAATGAAATGAGAGAGATACTGAAATGCTTCACGTGCCCCCCCTTTTAGTTTTCTGGTGCTACATTAAAACTGAGCTGTGTTTTTGCTTTGCTACAGGCGACCCTCGGGAATACCTGGACAGCTTTATCAAGATCGGCGAGGGCTCCACGGGTATTGTGTGCATCGCCAGCGAGAAACACAGCGGCAAGCAGGTGGCTGTTAAGAAGATGGACCTCAGGAAACAGCAGAGGAGAGAGCTGCTCTTCAATGAGGTGAGAGAGACTGACGGATTAACTGCAGTGTTGCTGGATCCAGTGAATGATAGGCACTCCTCAAAACTCCTCACATGTGAGATCAGAGCTCCCATTTGTCTCTGACTGTTGTTGGCTCAAACAAGCAGCAGCCCAGATGAAACCAGTTCAAGAAGTATCATTAAAGATGATTCATTTTATCCCTAATAGATGAAAATAAATATCCCTATTCCACAGAATTACATCAGCTTGCTTATTATAGAATAACACACGTTCAAATTTCCTCTATTTCCCTGTTCATGGCCATCCAAAGACACATTTTACATCCATAATAGAATTTATTTACTGAAAACGAAGCTATGTTCATGTTGAAGACCTTAGGCAACAAATGAATTCATGGCTAATTCTATTTATGGTTCAGCAATTATTGAAAAATGAGCTCTGTGTCATTTGCACTGAAATAAATCTTATTTGCAGAGAAACTTCATGATAGCTTGTTTTACATAAAAACGAGAATATATGCTGGTATACATACAAGCATGTGTGTACAGTGAACACAGATCTGAAGCTGTGGGTGTTCAGCTGAGAACTAATTTTGTTTATGTAATCTCATTAATTGCTGACTGTAATCCTTTTACAGTAATGCCTCCACTTGAGTTAAATTAATAAATAATTGTAATTACATGAATAAATTAAATAAAGTAATGAAATAGTGGATCATGTCTTTACAACATATTTAACATTCATTCTGATACAGTAATTAAATTTACAGACAAACACACACACAGAATATATATTTTTTAGGCCAAGGTTTGTAATAGCTCTACATCATGACACATTCCAATAAAAACACATAATTACAAAGAAACTGAAAAGGAAAAATATATTGAAATTAGGTAAAGCCATATTGCAATTAATGTGGACAATATCACAATTTGGGATTGGGTTATAATAAAAATAAATACTAAATAATGAAAAATAATAAAGTGGTATTTTGAGTGTGATTGCTTGGCATTGAAAGAAAATGCACAGATTTCTGATTTTTTTTATGTACATCACTTGAACATACAAAGTTATGAGCTTGTAAAGCAAAATACTAAAAACTAATCGCTATGGAAATCTACCCCCCACAGTATTTTATTTAATCAAATCGCAGGTTTTCACGCTTATATAATTGAACAGGCTAACATTGGGATTGCGATTTTGATTATAATAATCATGTAGCACCAGTTAAAATCTGTCTCCCTGTGTTTCAGGTGGTGATTATGAGGGACTACCATCATGAGAACGTGGTGGACATGTACAACAGCTACCTGGTGGGAGACGAGCTGTGGGTCGTGATGGAGTTCCTGGAGGGTGGGGCACTCACTGACATTGTGACTCACACCAGGTAACCTTGGATTATGCTGGGGTGTAAAATAACAAGAAAAAAGTCCTGAAGTTGACTCTGGAGTCAAACAGTCACAATCACAGAATTAAAAGAGTTAGAGGGAGTTCTAAGATCTAGACTGTTAGCTTTAAACAAATGAATGACGAGTCACAAGTAAAATCAATCACCCCTAAAATGAATCACCAAATATAGCAGAACAGGAGGACCAATTAAAGGAATAGTTTGACATTTTGGGAAGCACACTTCTTCACTTACTTGCAAAGAGATTAGGCAATCTAACTGCCACTACACCCAGGGGACAGCTAGTTTAGCAGATAGGCTGCAAACAGAGGTAACCATCTTATCTGTTTCTGTGTGAAGGTAATCTGCCTTCTAAACATAGACTGTACAGTTTATAAAGATGCATGACGTGTCTCCACTGACTCTCATTGTATAAAAGTAGATACGGGTGCCACCATCTTGGGCTTTTGACATTATGTGGAGTTAACAGTCATCAACATACTTAAACATATCGAAAAAGAACATTTTAATATAAATCAGTGTAATAAGATTTACTTAAATTGACATAGATGGTCTATGGAAACATTACATTTTTTTGTTTGGTCCATGTCCCATGCACTAACATGGAGGAGGCAGGGCTCAGGACCTATACTGCAGCCACCAGGGGGCGAGCAATATGACTTGCTTTCATTTTGGGAAGTGGTCATGTCGTCCATCTTTACATACAGTCAATGCTTAAAACATGTCTGCAGGTCAGTAGTGGACATGTGTTAATGCTTTTGGTTGACACAAAAGTGTAACAAGTTGCCTGGCAACCAGAGGTTTTTACAAAAACAATACAACATGCTCAGTTTTATAGCTGCCAGTAGGCACTATCCATTTGGAAAGTGCCAGGCTAGCTTCCAGCCTTTGTGCTAAGCTAGGCTTATCAACCCCTTGCTGTTGTGGTTGTTGTGTAGTGGTTTCAATCTTCTTCTCTAGGTCTCGGCAAGAAAGACAATAAGCGCAACACCGAAATTGACAAACTGTTGCTATAAACAGCTGCATTTTGGACACACTCTGTGCAGAAGGACTGATGGTGATATGTGCATAAGTAAATAAAAGAAATAGCCAGTGTGATATTGAGTCAGACTGAGACAGCAGCCACATGGGAGAAGGTTCACATCCTCCATTTGTACTTGTTATGTCTGAATGATTCAAAAAGGGTTTAGCTGGTAATTTGTAAGTGAGCATGGGTTGTTAAAAAATCATGTGGACACATCAGTACACATCAGTAAAAAGACAAGCAGGAAATTCAAGCTGGTGGGTTGTCCAGTCCTGGTATTGGTAGTTTTTCAGGATTATTGTTCTCTAACTTTCCCTAATTGCTTCTCTGTTGTTGAGTCGTGCGTCAAAGCTGCCACCTCATTGTTTTAAGTTTACTTTGTGTCTGGTGTTTAATTACAGTCATTTGTGTGGAGTGTCAGAATTAGCACTGTGCGGTGTCGGATGCTAATAACACGGTCTGCTGAGGCTTTGAGTGTTCAGTGTGTGTATGTGTGTGTGCGATAGAGTTTCAGTACACATGTGCATGTACTAAAAGATATCTCAGTAAACAGGATACTATTGGGTACACGTTTATCTTTAACTCGCTCTCTTTGTCATCGTCTCTCACTCATAGCCACTCCATGTGTTGGATTTAATTTATACTAAATGTGAGTTTGAAATTTGTATTTTAAATATTCAAAGTCAAATCGGAATAATGGCACAAAGAAAGAGAGTAAAATACACATTTGTTAAATGGAACTTTCAAAGACATCATTTCACATGTATTATCACTGTATTATATTTTGTTTGGTTAATAGACATACAGATTAACCACTTTATGTAATTATTGTGCATCATACTATATGTATTTATGATGTAAGGAATACAGCGCTGTGTTTCTCCTCTGTAATTTCAGCCATATTTGTCCAGGTGAAAGCTTTGTGCTATTTCTGTTAAGCCTTTTGTTGTGGGAATAACTGCTGCCTGCCTCACGTTGCACAAGCCTCACCACCGCGCTGGGTCACTGGCAAGGAGTGCACACACAACGAGATTTTTGAACACGCACACACACACGGAACACACACAGAGGCGTGTCAGCAGTGGCAGAACAGCCGTCCCCGCACCTGAACTATTTCAATCACGTTCAAATTTCAATTATGCTTTGAGAGTTGGTTAATGAGCTGCACTTCACAGGGATTTTATCCAGTGTAAGTGCAAAAGCATATGTATTTGTGTTTACTGGTGTGTGTGTTTGTGTCTGTTTGTGTGTGTGTGCGTAGGTGTGTGTGTAATTCTCCCCCTGACAACCTTTACAGGCTCATTAAAATTGTGTTTTACTTTCTGTTTGAAACAATTTTCTATTTCAGCGAGCAGGCCTCGCTTTTGATTGTCTGCGTTCATTTCTGTGTGTGTGTGTGTGTGTGTGAGCGGGGGATAGGCGGCATAGGATGGGGTGGTGGGGGTGGGGGGTTGGTTATCGGTAAGAGGTGAATTGTCTTTGCGTACACGTCTCCATCCCCTTCACTCTGGGTTAGCCAGTTGTTTTTCCGTTAGCAGAAGGCTCATTTATTTCTCGTGATTGTAAATGCATACATGTGTGACAATAAAATCTGCTGCAGTGTGGTGTGGGTGTGTGTGTGTGTGTGTGTGTGGGTGGGTGTGTGTGTGGCCTGGGGGTTGTTTCACATAACGTATCTAAGTGACAACTCCTACAGTGGGATCTTTTAGAGATCGGTGAGTGTGAGTGTTAAAATGAGCAATCATGACTGTGGATGTCTTTACTGTTGTACACGTATGACATGTATGTTTGTTTCTTTAGTTTATGCTTGCAAATTAGTGTCTCTGTATCTGCACATGTACTGTATGTGCTGGCTGCTCAGAGTGGGGGCACACACACACACACACACACACACACACACACACACACACACACACACACA